TTATGCTGGAATCTAATTTTTACACATTTGTAGATAATGTGGATGTTTTTCTTATCTTTCACATTGTAGAAAATTCAGGCTAGGTTTCTCCTTCAGTTTTTATAATATTTTCTGCTATTCTAAGTTTCTCGTCATTGCTTTTTCTGAGCTTTACTTTATATTTTTACTGAATACTTAATTTCAAAACATGTGTCTTTCTTTCATGTTAGAAAGTTCTAGTACCTTTCTTACCATGTCTGTTCTTCCTCTCTAAATCATGCTGAAATGATTTGGGTAATCCTGAAGCCATTGTGCATAAAACTTTTCTTGAATGTTGTGTATTTATTATTGTATTTTTATGCCACTCTCTGAGATAACCTCTTGCCTCATTCAATTAATAAATAAATTTTCTCTCACAAAAATCCACTCTGCTGTCCATGCCTGTGTACCAATAATTAAATTGTGTATATCAGTGACCTCAGCTAATTTTTCAATTCTTTCTTAATTCTAATTCAACATGTTTTAAAGTCTTCTATAACTTACAGTTATCAACTCCGGTTGTTTTGAAGCATTATTGTAAAAATTCATCATCACCCCAGTGCAGCCTGACACAGGCTATCACTCAGGCAGATCCAGAACTGCTCTGTGGTTACCTTCTGCCACAGAGCTTTTTTGTGCATTATTGAAAACAAATATCCTGACTTTGGGATCTCTTGTCCTGGGCACTGCAGTAGGTCAACTCACCCCCAGGGGACCAAGAAATCCATAGTCTTCTGATATCACTGTGCTAGTCTTGCCCCCACCCAATGGAAGAGGGAGTGTTTCAGACCTGCCTGCACCCACTGTGAGACCCATCAGAGTACTGGCCTGCTTGCACCCACAATAAGAGTACCTTAGACCCGTACCCAAAAGGAGAGGAAGAGACCCACCTGCACCCTCTTGAAGAAGGGATAGGAAGGCAACAACTATATAAGAACACATTCAACAACAGAAAAACCAATATGATGCCAACAGAGTCTATCTGTTGGCAAGACCTGAACATCACAGCACAGATGAAGCAGAAGAGAACAACATTAAAATCAACTTAATGAAGATGACAGAGACCCTAAAAGAGGAAATGAGAAAATCTTTTAAAGAAATGGAAGAAAAAAACAAACAAACAAATTCAAGAAATGGAGGAAAAAACAACCCAAAAGTTGCAAGAAACTATTCAAACAGTGCAAGGTTTGAAAGCTGAAATAGAGACAATAAAAAAGAAGAAAGAAAAAAAAACACAGTCTGAAGGAAGGCTGGAATTAGAAAAACTGAGTAAATGATCAGGAACTATAGATGCAAGCATAAACAATATAATACAAGAGCTGGAAGAGAGAATTTCAGACATTAAAGATATACTAGGAGAAAGAGATTTATCGACCAAAGAAAATCACAAGTGCAACAAATCCCTAACACAAAATATCCAGGAAACATGGGATACTGTGAAAAAGCCAATCCTAAGAATAATAGGTATAGAAAAAGGTGAAGAAACCCAACTAACTCAAAGGTGCAGAAAACATATTCAACAAAATCATAGAAGATAACTTTCCCAACCTAAAGAAAGACATGCCAATGAAAGTAGAAGAATACCAAATAGAGTGGACCACAAAAAAGTCCAATTGTCATATAATAATTAAAACACCAAACATACAGAATAAAGAAAGAATATTAAGAGCAGCAAAGGAAAAAGGCTAATCTATGTATTTCTACATGGCATTATCTTACCAGAGGATACCTGGTACATCCTATCTCCCCCCCACCCCCAGTCTTTACATGGCATCTCTTTCTGACAAACTCTCTCTGCCTGTCTTTTCCAGAATTCTCATCTCTGATGCACCTATCTTCGTGTCTCTATTGGCCAGTGTTTTATTCAACTTCCACATGTTTTTTGTCTTTAATATGATATAATTTGCTTTAAAAAATTAAGTTTGACAATTATTTAGTCTATTCCCTTTATTTCAAAATATAATGTTGTTTGTATTAGTGTAGTTTTCTTCCAGCATGCATGGATCTGAGGAAGGTGGGGTAGCCTAAAGAACATATTTTATTGAAAATGATGTCTAGGATACTTTTCTCAGTATGCCTAGTATTTTTCCTTCAAATTATTTTATGAAAAACTATTTCAGCTTTAAAATTGCCTTGCATAGCACAGAATGATTTTAATTTGTAATAAAACATAAATGTTTCATATCATTGTTTTCAAACAGAATTTAACATTCAAACTTATTTGAGTTCCCCTAATATTCTGAGTCCATTTTTTTCTCACACATGCTCCCACACTTATAGATTTATTGTAAAGTTCCTCCCAGAAGTAGAATTTTCCAGAAACTCTCTCAAAGCCTTTAAGCAGAAGAACCAGTTTTTGCTGTTGTTATTTTGAAGTTTTTGTCTGTTACCTTCCCTTTCTTTCAGAGTACTGTTATATGGAGTGCAAGGTCATACTTTTGGGTTTCCTTCCTGGCAAAGCCAATGTGCTCTAAAAGTTTCCAAAGGCTATGCTCACCTTTTCCTTTTCTCATTGAGAATCAGCCAAAGAATGCATCCTGGCTTCAGTTCAATTCACCATACTGTTCTCAGTAAACTTCCTTTTGGTTGGAACCTAGACATAGAGCTGGGTTGTGCCTCACTTTCATTGCTAGACCCTTCTCATTGCTCAGTGCCTTCTCAGCCTAGCTGCTGGTCCCAGAAGATAATGTGGTTCTTTGATGACCACAAGTGTGTATACCAGCCTGGAATTACTTTATTCATTTTGATGAAGTAATAACCTCTATTAAGTTAGTTCTTGTTTTTCTGCAATATTAAGCTCAAGCCCTTCATTTTTTGCGTTAAAGTTGGATTTATATTCTTTCTTGTTTCATACTAAACCTATTACCTGTTTAGCTGTAGCTTTGTTTCTGAATTCTCATTAAAGAAGGTCTTCTCCTCTGCTGAGTGAAACCTTGTTTCTCTTTGTATCATAAGAGCATAGTGGCATAGAACTTGACACATAGAAATTGTTTAGCAGTTGCATGTTTCTAATAGCAAAAGCCAACAAATATAACCATTATAGTGCATATGTGTGCCTACATGTAATTAGACACACTTTAATTTTCCTACTGTAAATTCAATATTCATTTTTCAATAAGACAAGTTCTATTTTTATTCAATTTTTAGCAACTCCACAACTCCTTTGTCAGTTCCTATGTCTTCTGTGCTTTTTCTTATTGTTCCTGGAATAGCTATTTAACTTCCATATCACTTGCTCTTTGAGCTTATTAACACATTTATTTTCTTTTTTATCTTGTGTTGATTAGTAAATTTTGTTTCTCAATGATCTAACTTTTTCTAGTTAGCAAGCTCTTTAAGAAAACATTCATTGTGGACTTTGGGAGCCCATCCTACATAGAGGGATACTCCCTGAGCCTAGACACACGGGATGGGCCTAGGCCCTATCCAAAAGGATATGACAGACTTGAAAGAACCCGTATGGAAGGCCTCACCCTCCCTGGGGAACAGAAAGGGTATGGGATAGGTAGGGTGTTAGTTGAGGATAGGCAGGGGAGGAGGGTAGGGAGATAGAATTGGAATTGACATGTAAAACAATCTTGTTTCTAATTCAAATAAAAAAATTCAAAAAAAGAAAACATTCATTGATGATTTAATTACAAAATCGACCTCTTTAAAATTCAGATTTCCTTTGTATAATGTAGCTATACTATAATATATACATATATATTACATCATACTTTGTATATTATAATTTAACTATATTATAAACACTGAGACCAACATTTTTTAATCATTCTCTCTAGCATCAGACTGTTTTAAGATTAATATTCCAAAGATTTATGTGTGTAACACAAGGCATGAAATTATCTCATAGTATAAACTTTTGTGTCCCATTCCAATATCTTTATATGCTATTAAATTTTCTTATCAACCTGACTTGGATGTTCTTTACACTCTTACCAATCAAGAATTCTCACTTCATATGCTTACCTTCTTTTAAGTAAATACTGTTATCACATTGTAAACATGCCTATTACTACAGGAGAGATTGGAGTTTCTTAGACTTTTTATTTTCTTTTGTGTCTAGGCTGAGAGAGTTTCCCTCTATGAAGAATGGGCTCCCAAATTCCATTCAATTCTAGGGATAAATACTGATCCACTACCTGAGGCCCCATAGAGTCCCAGGCCTCCTAACTGACATCCATGTTCGGGGGTGTGGTTTGGTCCTATGCTGGTTTCCCAGCTATCAGCTTCAGCACCCCATTGTTCAGGTCAGATGTTTCTGTGGGTTTCTCCAGCCTGGTCTTTACCACTTTGCTCATCACTCTTCCCTCTCTGCATCTGGATTCCAGGAATTCAGCTCAGTGTTTAGCTGTGGTGCTTAGACTCATTATTAAAAGACTTTAGAAATGGACACAGAAGGAAGCCTAAGAACAATCTTACTAGAATTTGAAAGTAAAACAAAAGAAAAAGAAAGTTATAAATCTCTGCAGGTATTGCATAAAGAGGGATGGAGAAGAGGAACAAACAAAGCTATGGCTTTTGAATTGGGCTTCAAGAAAGCAGGCATGTTCAACAATGGAGGTCAGCAAGCAGCTTTGTAACAGAAGGCGGGGAGAATTTCAGAAAAAAAAAAAAAGAGCTAGGAAACCCAGGGTTTCAGAGAAAGTATGCTCATGCTTGTGGACATTATCTGAAAAACGTCAAACGTCAAGAAGGATGAAAAGCAAAAGTTGCATGTTGTGAGTCAGAGCTCAGAAACAAAACAAAACAAACAAAACAAAGTGGGAACTTTAGCAATGCCTCCTGGTGGAAGCTCTGTGAACAACTACATTGCTCCTGGAGGAAGTACTCTATTATATCACTAGTGGATTGTAGGGGAAGCTGTAGCCACGCCTACTTAGGGGCTGGCTACATGTGTGCCTGACCATGCTTGTGAGGGCGTGGTCAGAATGACGTGGTGTGACTGCATTTGCGCTTTCGGTTTCACTTTGCTTCTTGCTGTACAGACTGCTGCCACGCCGGCTGGCTAGGTCACTCTGTAAGTAAGGCTTTTCCCTATTAAATACCCTTATATTTCTACCTGACTCCGTATTGGTAATTTTCCACTATAGTGGATAATTATTTCTACCATCCCATTAGAATATCTTCAGGAGAATCAACTTTCCTAAGGAGTGGACTCCTGGACAGGTGATTGACAGGCCCAGCTATACCAACTCTGAAGAAAGGAAGACTGAAAGCTTAACATGTAATGTTCTAACCTTTGAACACTTCAGAAAATCATGTCATCACCCAAAGGTAGATTTTGACCTCAGATTCTGAGTTCTTTTGACCACCGGGAGCTGCTTTTCCCTTCACGGATGGAGCAAAACCCTGATAACTTAACCTTTATATGCTCTATTTTAAAAATTAGCAGGCAGTTGTGATGTTTCCCTTTCTATAGTTAGCAGGAACCTAAGGGTTAAGGTCCAAAACTGGCATTGATGGGGATCCGTTCTCAATAATTTCCAAGCCTGCTAGTCCCATAACCCAATTGAGGTTGGAGTAGTGGATTATAATTGTATCAGTAGTCCCTAAAAATTTACCACAAATCCCACGTTCTTTCTGAATCATCCAAACTATGTATACACTAAGAAGGGAATTTATTCTCTCTTTTTGACCCAACCAGTTCTTCTGAGCTAATAGACACACAACCTTTGGCATCCAGCCCTAGTAATTCTGACCATCAGACATCATCTGAGGCTCTACTTTCCAGGTCCTGATTTTGACTCAATGTTCCAAGCAATTATTCAAGTACAGACTTGCAGTAAGCTGTTGACCATTTTCTATCCTTTCTTTAACATATTAAGATGCAGTATTTGGAAAACACATTTTTGTAGAAATATGTTTATTAATGATTGCTTATTTTAGCTTTTACTCTGGTAATCAACCAGTGTCAGTGTCGTTCACAACTTTTTTTTAAATTAAAGTTTCTAACTAGGATGCTATTTCTGATATGGCAAGTTCCTTCCTACGAAAACAGAACATCTATTCCAAAGCTTAGCCTCCACTTGAGTCAACATAGTTTCATTTTTGTTCCATGTTAGATGGCACTGAAATAACTTTAGGGAATAAAAAACAGCAGAAGAAAGACTACAAAAGTTTCTTGGAAACTGAAGGAAAGTAATAAAAATTTAGAGGAAAAATGCACTCACAGTAAAATTGAGTCACACATATAAACTGTGACATGTACACATCAGAGAGAAAGATTCCAATTCTCCACTACTGCTTGAGACAGAAGTTAATTGAGAGAACAATGGGTTTGCATTATCTTGAAAGTTTGTGTTTGCAAACTACAATTAGGAAGAAGCAGACAGCAAGGGCAACGGTTAGTGTCTGGGATAAAAGGCTAGTCATTAATGTGCAAGCCTAGAAATCCAGAAAATCAAGCAAGGTTGCCTCCAGATTCTTCCTTGCCAGAAGAAGGTGGAGAGAAAACCATGGATAACCCATCAGCACTAATTAAATTCTCCAATTCTAAAAGAGAAAGCAATTATGAGAATAAGGAGAAATAAGAGTATCTCTTCGAGGGCAAATAAAGTGTGGGGAGAATCAAAGAAAGCATTGCTTGACATCTTCCTCCCCCGAAGAGAAGTGATGATGACATGAGCCAAAACACAGAGCTACCTACCAGAAGGAAGTAAGCATTAAAACCTCCTACAGAGGTAGGAATGAAAGGATTGTTCCCTTCAGTAGAGAAAGGTTATGTTAATGGGGCTTCTCAGGGAAGAAAACATGCCAACACAGGAGAATGCAGAAGTATTTCATTAAGTGTCTGCTTCCAAAAGAAGGCACAGAGTTCAAAGAAGTGTCAAACCAGGAGGTAATCCTACTTGAAGGAGAGAAGGTGAGAATGCTGTGAGGAAGATTCCTATGTTCTTAGACACTGTAGGAAAATTTAGCCAAGTCTGTCAGAGAGTAAGCAAGCCACAGCTACCTGTCAGAGGAGTCCCATGTGACCTAGGCCCTAGGCACAGGCCTATCTTTGTAGCATGCCATGCTCAGTTGCGGGTTGGACAAAGCAAACAATTTGCACAAAGCAAACACAGAAAACATTGAAGAGTGTAAGTAGAAGTTGGGGTCATTAGTCACACCATCTTAGCTATTTTTATTTGCTGTCAAGAGACACCATGACCACAGCAACTCATAGGCTAATTTACAGTTTCAGAGGTTCAGTCTATCCTCATGACAGGGAGCATGGCAGTATGAAGGCAGACATGGTGCTAGAATAGTAGCTTGTAATCCTACATCTTGCAGGTAACAGGAAGTTGACTGAGACACTGGGCAGTATCCAAGGCATAGGAAACTTGAAAGCCAGCCTGCAACTATGACATACTTCATCCAACAAGGCCATACCCAACCTGACAAACCAATACTTCCTGATAGTGTCAAAGCCTATGACATTATGGGGCCAATTACATTCAAACTAATGCATCCTCTATTCACTGTAGTTGATCTGCAGATGTATTTTCTTGTCTGTAAAGATAAATGTCAAAACTTATAGCAAATACCAGGCCTGATGAGGAGGAAATGAGAACATTCCTTTTAGACTCAGTGAGATTACAGTATATGGCAATTTTAACCAATTAGCATGATAGGTAAAGTAACAGTTGAAAAACTGGAAATTAAAGATACAATTTGTTATCATTTACAGACAACATTGTGAGACTGGAGGATGAGTTATGGGTAGAGTGGTTCTGGGTTCTTAACTCCTTATGTAAAAAGTTGGAAATAAAGGTTCACACAGATTTGAAACAGAAGCAAGCTAATATTTGGAGCAAAGGCATACTGATTAAAGAAAGATATTCTCTCAAGGTAGATAGCAGACAACATGAGAGTTTGCTAAAGAGCTCCAAGCCACACCATGGGTTGGTTTTTATGAGGTCTAAAGGAAAGAGAGGCTGGTTAGCAAATGGTGTAATTTAGGTGGCTCTCCATGTTTCTATTGATAGATTATGTCAGGTATTCACTTTTCCTACTATGTATGTCCTATTCCATAATGCATCTCATTTAGACATATGCATGCCCAATTGTATATACATAAACATAAGATGGTAAATAGGGAATTCTCTCTAAATGCTTGCTAGAGTACATAATTTTGTCTTATTTTGCCTGCACCCAAATGCAGTTCAGACTTGATTTATCCTTCCATTCATCATTTTTGTAATGTTGGGAACATTCTAAAGTAGAAAGGGTCTAAATTTAATCCTAATCCAGGGAAGGGCAGTTTACACATTGTTCAGAGAACTGAATACCTGTATCATGGTGCAGGAATGGTCATATAAACCTACACATTCACAGACATACACCACACATAATATATACCATATAAACACACTTACACAGTAATTACATGTTTTTAAAGACATGAATGAATGATGATAATAGGACGTATGTATATCAGGGCAAAGGATTTGGCTCAGCAATTAAGAATACGCATTATGAAAAGGGTTTTTACATGTCAATCCCAGTTCCCTCTCCCTCCCCTCCTCTCCTGCCCCCCGACTAACACCCTACCTATCCCATACCATTTCTGCTCCCCAGGGACAGTGAGGTCTTCCATGGGGGGTCTTCAGAATCTGTCATAGCCTTTAGTCCTAGGTCCTAGGCCCACCCCCATATGTCTAGGCTGAGGGATTATCCCTGTATGTGAAATGGGCTCCCAAAGTCCATTCCTATGCTTGGGATATGTACTGATCTACTGCAAGAGGCCCCATAGATTTCCGAGGCCTCCTCACTGACACCCACATTCATGGGGTCTGGATCAGTTCCATGCTGGTTTCCCAGTGTCTGGGGGCTAAGAGCTCCCACTGCTTCAGGTCAGCTGTTTCTGTGGGTTTCACCATCCTGGTCTTGACCCCTTTGCTCATCACTCCTCCTTCTCTGCAATAGGATTCCATTTTAGTTCAGTTAATAGCTGTTGGTATCTGCTTCTACTTTCATCAGCTGCTGGATGAAAGCTCTAGGATGGCATATAAGTTAGTCATCAATCTCACTGTCAGGCTTTTAAGGTAGCCTCTCCACTGTTGTTTAGATGGTAAGTTGGTGTCATCCTTGTAGATCTCTGGAAATTTCCCTAGCGCCTGATTTTTCTTTAAACCTATATTGGCTCCCTATCTGATGGTATCTCTTATTTGGGCAGTGGTGGTGCATGCCTTTAATCCCAGTACTTGGGAGGCAGAGGCAGGCAAATCTCTGTGAGTTCAAGACCAGCCTGGTCAACAAGAGCTAGTTCCAGGACAGCCTCCAAAGCCACAGAGAATCCCTGTCTCAAAAAACAAAAACAAAGCAAACAAAGAAACTTAAAAATTGGAAATCTTAATGAGCACTGGGAATTCCATTAGAGAAGTTAGGCAACAAGGAGGACTCTAAGAGAGACATGGATGGTTCCCCAGAGAAGGAAAAAGGAACAAGATCTCCTGAGTAAATTGGGAGCATGGGGAGGGGGGAACGGAGTTAGGAGAATGAGAAGGGGACAAGAGGAGGAATGAGGAGGACAAAAGAAGCAGGAAGTTTGCGTAGAGTGAAGAATAGAGGAGAGCAAAATAAGAGATACCATTTTGAAACTTTACAAACAAAAAATAAAGATAAAATTTTAGATACAAGAACTGCATAGCACTACTTTAGGTGTCTGAAAGAAAAGTTGATGATAAAAAGGCTACAAAAAGATGAGGATTTAAGTGTTAGAGAGAAAATCATGTAATATTATGGAAAGTTCCCTTTCACAAAATGCATAAAATTATATGGCCATGGTTGCTTGAGAGACATAGTCAAGATATTATCCTTTTCAAAAAGAAATATATATGAACTATCTGATACTCTCCATTATTGTTTTATTTAAATCGCATTCAATTAAGTGGTAGATAGCAACTAGAGCTTTGTATTTTAATTAAGTATTATTAAGTCCCCATATAATGAAATTGGCAGATGCTCACTGTTTGGGAGAGAGTGATTAGGAATTAAAGCATCCAAGAAAAGCAACGAGGAATCAAACATAATATGAGATATAAAAGCATCATATGACATCTATTATTAATCCATTGTTTTTCTAATACTGCACTTATAAACCTGAATACTGACATTAAAGCTAAACTAATAAAAATGAGTTGAGTAATTTCTTTTCATAGGAAATGCAGTTTGGGGATAATTTTTTAATGAAAGAGGCTTTTTAAAAAATTCTAAAAATGAAATAATGCCACTTTCACAAAGTTATCCCAATTTTCTGGTTTTTAAGAATCCTTGGGGTGCTGTTTTTAAAA